CGAAAAAAACGACCATGTATAGTAAGGCGTTTTTCGACGAAAAAAACGACCATGTATAGTAAGGCGTTTTTGGCCCGAAAAAAACGACGATGTATAGTAAGGCGTTTTTAGCTGAAAAAAACGACCATGTATAGTAAGGCGTTTTTCGACGAAAAAAACGACCATGTATAGTAAGGCGTTTTTAGCCGAAAAAAAACGACCATGTATATATAGTCAGGCGTTTTTGGCCCGAAAAAAACGACCATGTATCGTAAGGCATTTTTGGCTGAAAAAAACAACCATGTATAGTAAGGCATTTTTGGTCGAAAAAAAACAACCATGTATAGTAAAGCGTTTTGAGCCGAAAAAAACGACCATGTATAGTAAGGCGTTTTTAGCCGAAAAAAACGACCATGTATAGTAAGGCGTTTTTCGACGAAAAAAACGACCATGTATAGTCAGGCGTTTTTAGCCCCAAAAAAGATTAAGCCGTGGAAATTTCACAGCCCTGATTTCTACAGTTTCACAGTCCTAATGGGCTTTCCGAGGGAAACTGTGACTACAACGTGGCCCGCGACAAAAATGAATTTGACACCCCTGCCATCGAGCGTAACCCCAACGAAGATGCTGTCGTCGGGGGAACGCCGCGGTGATTCTTGAGCGTCTTAACCGGCGCGCCCGCGAGGAGTCTTTAGCTCTGTCGCTAATCCACACGTGTGCGGCAAGGAGCGTTTGTCAACTTAATCCTCTTGCAAGCTGACTCACAAACGCCAAGTGTGTGCGCGTGCGTGTGAGATCACACATCTGGCAGCATCGGCCTTCTCGACGCGCACTTTGCTAACACCTGCCATCTTAAGTCAAAATAGCAACAACAACAAAACTGTGGTACACGGTGAAATGTTAGCAGCAGTACTAGCTGGTCACCAGGCTATTTGGATTTGGATTCATTTCAGTAAAGTACTCAGGCGTACGAAGTTTTGACCGAAAAAAATTAATAAAAACTGTTTCAAGCGTCGACAGGAAATGTTACGCTAGCTACTCTGGAAACAAACGCGGTACAGTGCGGCTCAGGCTACGGCGAGTGGCGAGCAATACGCATTTGGCGGCAAGTCTAAAAACATTTGAAACAGCGTTTTACATTGTAGCATACGATGTTTGATACCACTTTTTTCCCAGGCTGATACCAATATGAGTATTCACTCTTTTGAGTACTCACTGATCCAGAGTACTGATACCCCTCGTAATTTTGATGCATAACATTTCATTTAACATGATGCCAAAACAGGGAGTACTTACTCCACGATAGATTTTTTATTGCCTTAAGCATCGGTGGCTGCTATCTGCAGCCTCCACAAGTACCCAATACCTCAAAAAATAATAATAATGTTGGTATGAACTCAATACCGATACCTGGTATCGATACTCGCCCAGCTCTCGAAGAAATGGGCGGTGATTTTACAACAGTTGTAAGATGTGAGACCTAAGGTGACAAGTTTCGAACCACTGTACCATCCCATACATGAAATCATAGTTGCTGTACAGAGTAAAGAGAAGGGAACGCGAAAAACAGCGCCAATAGAAGCAGTGTTGTATGCAGCAAAAAACAAAAATGTACATGTACAATGAATAGTCTGTGTCTTTCGCTATGTATCACTGTCAAGATAGATAGACAGAATATACACGTGGATATACAGTATAAATATAGAATATACAGTAGTACCTGCAAGCTGCAATCAATGTACAACCTCTCATGCGCTATCTAGTAATAAAGCAACTATTATGGCAACACCGCTTTGAATATCGTGATATAACCGCCATTTATTGAATGGAATTTCTTCAACGTGGCTTCCTTCCAGCTGCAAATACGCATTGAAGAGGGTGTGATTGATTTTCTCTTTTTTTTCTGAATATCGATGATGGTGCTGAGGGAGGGCGTCCGTCCTCTCTTGAGCAGCCGCCGGCAGGCCTCTTCAGCCGGGGATGACTGCACCAACATACGGGGTGTGAAACCCCGAAGGCCGGTTAGACAAAAAAAAAAATGGGCGGAGGTCTGCTTATCATTCCGAGCCGGGGGTCGGGGGGGGCTCATGTTTTTGTCTCGCAGCCTCGACAAAAAGGACTCGCCGGCGGCTTTCGGCAAGGCCTCCGCCGCACATACCTCCGCACTGCCGATCGCTCCACCGCTAATTATTCGGATTCCAAACGGGGAAGAAAAGACTCGAGTGCGGGAGGTTGGATTTGGCGGAGCTCACTCACTGCGTTCCGGTTGTCTGCGCGATGTCGTCGTGGTCGTGGTGCTGTGGAAACCTCGGCGGTGCACTGCGCCTCCTTCCTGCCTGGGTGCCCTGGTTGCTTTCCGGCCGCCCTCCGCTCTCGTCGCCGCTCGCTCCGCCCGGCACTGCGCATGCGCCGCGGCTCCACGCTGGTTTAAAGGGTTTGCCGATTAAAAATAGAACTCTGGCCGCAGACACATGATGGGATGTGTGCTTGTTCCCCCCCCGCAACCCCCCCCCCCCTTCCTCCCCACGTTCCACCTCGGAGGACAAAGACATCCATTCTATTCCAAGGCAAGCAGATGATAAGTGATTTAATCGTGCACAGCAGGGGTGCGCAAGTCCGGTCCTCGAGGACCCCAATCCAGCGTGTTTTTAGATGTCTCACACCTCATTCAAATGATCGGGATCGTGAAGAGGCTTCTGCAAGTTTTCTGACGAGGCAGTCAGAAATCCGGATAGCCCCTCGAGCATTTCAGTGTTTTCTAAAATTTCTAAAATAGATTTTTGACATGATTTTCTCAGCACCACTTTGGGCTCGGGAGAGGGGAAAAAAAAACTGGAGCCGCACCTATCTAGAAACCCGACCAGCCATATCTTTATTTTATTATTTGCGTTAATAACACTACAATATATGCATGTGAGGTGCATGCATTTTTTGTCCACTTGGGGTCGCTATTCTCACATACTATACATGCACAGTGTAATGTCTGACTTTGAATGGGTGCAACTTTAAAAAGCAGTAAAACAACTAAAATACTCCCACTGTTTTTATTTTAAAAAAAGACAAAATATACACAGCCCTCCGTTCTGACTGGCACCTCTTGTTAAAATATGTCTAATAAATTCCGTTTTTGTTTGACAAATATAAGAGCGACATGTGGACAAAAGAGGAAAATCCAACCTTCGATTCAAGTGCGTTTATTCAGTGAGGAAAAAGAAAATCTACATTTAGCAATGATTTTTTTTTTTTTTTTAACATCAAATCAGGTGTGCCCCATTTTAGTAGCAGCGCTGTTTCGCCATCCAAACAGCAGCAAATCTTCTCCGATAACGTTTTCACAAAAGGGGGGAAGAATGAATCTTCAACCGAAGAAAGAGAGATCTTCAACCGTTCCTCTTTGCGCAATCTTCGCATCATCGGCGGCACGTCAGTTAACGGAGACGCGGGACTCCGTGCGGACATTCCTCTTTTATTTATTTTCACTCCAATGAGGTGACAGACGCCGCGAGAAGGGAAGAAAGGAAACCATACAAAGTGACCACAATGTTCAGCACCAGTGTTTTGTTTTGAGGTTGTTTTTTTTTTTTGAAGGAAAAAAAAAAAAAAAAAACGATGCCCCCAAAAATAAATAAGAAATTTGACAGTATTACGACAATAACATTCTAAAAGTCAACAAAACAACTCAAGGACTAAGATAATTATTCACAAAGTAAAACGATAAATATAAACCTGTAGAGTACATTATTTAAAAAAAAAAAAGTATCAGTGCGTTTCAGTTGTTTCACAGTGCTGAGTAAGCTGATACATCAAGAGGTGCGTAGTCGGGAATTTTTCAGAAGGTCCAAAACAATGCGAGTGTGAGTAAAAAGGCAGTTTGGGTGAGACTTTGTTTGGGTTTTTTTTTTTTTTTTGTTTAGTTTTTTTCCAACCTCGGCTCCTTCATGTGAGGTGGTGACAGGGATTTTCCTGGCCCAAATTTTGGTGGTACCATTCAGAATGAGAAATTTAACACCATCCCGTTGGTGTAATACTGCAGTTTCAGTTGGAAAGGAACTCAGGAAGTGCATTGCTGTTTCCATTTTTCATCATGTCGGCGGTTTTCGGCAGCCGCCTCCTCCAAATTTGATATGCAGCAAAAACCTCGCGGAGATACGACAACGTCACCAAAGCAGAATGAAGCTCAGTTTGGAAGTCGAATGTACAGTGGTACCCTGATGAATGCAACCAAGGTAACCCTCAATTTACATGTATATTCCCCGCCCCCCTCCCAACAAAACCCTCTCCATTGAAATGAACTGAAATCTCAATAATCCATTTCAGCCTCCCACCCCCCCCCGAAAAAAGTCACCCTTTTTTGTAAACACATTTACTAAAGAAAAATAGAGCTACTGTTGCACAAAGAAAAACATGCCATACCGATTTAATCGGTCGATATTAGCTTTTTTTTAAATCATTAAACATCGGCCAATTTAGTCTTTCTAAAAATAAAAAAAATAAAAAAAAAAACTCATTATCATATTATAACATAAGACAAAGATAATGCCACTCAAACATTCGGAATCCAGTCGTGGTTGTCCGTTCACCGCGCATTTAATTGAGTGTTGAGTTTCCTCTCTGCTCCTTGCGAGGTCGTTCATTTTATATTTGCACGGCTGAAAGTGCATCGGCAAATGTCGCCTTATTTTTCTTTTTTCTCCAGTTGAGCATAAATCGGAGCACCTGTAAGTCAAGGTACCACCGTACACTGAATCAAATCAAAGGAGGGAAAAAAAAAAAAAAAGCGCAGCTATTGCGATGTAAACAAACACAAATAAGTTTGAAATTGCCCCATATTTGCCGTCAGCGAGAGGCGCACAACATGTTTGTTACGCGTTCTCAACTTGGAGCGCATCTCACGGTACAGAGTGGGGGGGGAAAAAAAAAAAGCTCAACTCACGTAGAAAAGCTTCTTGAAGAGGACGGCGCACAAGTGCAAACGTTGTGTTTTGACAGTGAGGTCATCGTGATGTCACGTTCCTTCCAAGCGGTAACCCAAGAAGTGAGATTCCCCAACTGACACTTTTCGGTTTCCAAGGTTTT